CGGTGGCCAAGGGACTTGTCCACCACGCGCAATCCATCGTACCTCAAACGTGGCATTCAGGTAAGTGCGTACATCAGTGCTGAAGTGGTCTGGCACCCCATCGTGCTCAAACCACGTGCAGCTACGATCGGAACACCCTGCAGTAGTTCTGGAAACACCAGTTCCAAAAATGTAAAATAACATTGCCATTAAGTTGACAAACATGTGGTCTCGTTGCTTGTGGATTCTCGGTTGCCCGCACTTGGGAAATGCGAGCATTAAAGACAACCTCGTGTGTAAACGTCGCCTCACCTGTAATTAGTACATGGATCATGAAATCCGACTGCAGCGCACATTGCTGTACTCTATAACAATAAAATCGACGCACCAAGAAGCAATCATCCGATTGCTTTGAAATTTCGTATGCATGAATGTTCTAAGCAGATATGCAAATGATTAAAATTTGGTGTCCAATGAACGAATAGTTTGATCTCAGACGCATCGGAACTGTGCATCCAGGAGACGTAATAAGGAGCAGTTCTTCAACGGCTGCTAAAACGTTCGGTTTAATTGCGATTCAGATTACCTTTCAACAACTTATAAAAAGCCTCGTTGCAGGATTCGCGCTCATTACGAGCAACTTTCAGAATTTGACAGAGGTCGTGTCATTGGGTTGAAAGAGGCCGGTAGGACAAATCGGAGAATCGCTCGTCATTTGAGTCGAAACGATGCGGCGATTCGAAGATGCTGGCAAGGATGGGTTGAAAATGGCAGAGTTCAGCGTCACGATGGTAGCGGTCGACCTAGGGCAACAACAGAGCATGAAGACAGAGTGATTGTCCGAGCAGCTGTCACAGCGCCTTCTTCATCTCTATCAACCATCAGACGTTCAACCCAAACACCAATGTCTACCACGACCACTCACAGACGGTTGGGAGAGCGAAATATACGCTCGCGGCGATCGTTACGCCATCTGCCACTTACGCCTGCACACTGCCGAGCCAGATTACAGTGGTGCATGACTCGATCGGGCTGGAATGCCGACTGGGGATGTATAGTCTTTAGCGACGAATCCCGCTTCCAACTGTGCCCTGACGATAATCGAAGACGTGTTTGGAGACGCACAGGGCAGAGGGGTCATCCTGCCTTCACTAATGCACACCACACCGGCCCTCAGCAAGGCATTATGGTCTGGGGTGCCATTTCCCTTGACAGCCGGACCCTTTTGGTCGACATTAGAGGTACACTTACTGCACAGCGGTATTTCGACGACATCCTAAGACCTGTTTTGCTACTGTTCCTTTTGCAGCGCCCTGGGCTGGTTTTTCAGCAGGACAATTCCAGACCACATACGGCACTTGTTGCTATGAACTGCCTGCAAGCCTGTCAAATTCTTCCTTGGCCTGCCAGATCACCAGATCTCTCTCCCATCGAGCATGTCTGGGATATGATGAGAAGGCGATTGCATCTGACACGGAATGTTGATGATCTCGTTGGACAATTGTATCGAATTTGGCAGGAAATACCGCAAGAGACCATCCGGGAGCTTTATCGGTCTATGTCACGCCGTGTGGCAGCCTGCATCTAGGCTAGAGGTGGATCAACACCTTATTGAACTTGTTACTGTAACTCTGCAATAAATTATTCAATTGTTCTGAAATTTTAATCATTTACTATTCTGTACATTGTCTTCCTATTCGCCAATTTTCGTGTCAATCAGACTAATCTTTCTTGATACGTCGATTTTTTGTTACAGAGTGTACTTACATTATTTCTGAAGATTTGAAGTTTTTTAATTTTTGGAATATCATGGTGCACATTACCTTTCATCATTCAAATCCGTGTACCATACGGGAAAGCAAGTTTCAAGATCAAAAGTCGATTAATTGGCAAGTAATTTCAATCTTGTCCGATGGAGTTGGCGAGTTGACCACGTAAAGTGTTAACCCTCTCTAGGCGACTGTC